CGATTTCTAAGGCTCAGGCCGTGCCAAAGCAAACCCCGGCACGCGCGACGTGTCGTCGTTTCGCACCCCTCGTTTGGCAACCGCCAGAGCTGCACTGGGGCGACCAGCGCTCGACTTGTGGTGGTCACCAGCGCTGCGGGATCGAAATCAGCCCTGGCTCTGCAGCCAAAGAGCCAAACTGCTCGTGCAAATATGCCCAAGTGGCTCCTCAGCGGTGATCCAGGAATCCAGGATCTGGATGCGGCCCCGCTAACGAGCTTATCCCGCTTGGAAATTGTGAAATACACTGAGAACAAGTTCTGGCTCCTTAGCTACTAGAAAGAGTTCTGGTGACAGCAATTTTATTTTCTAGGGCAAAGTGACCACTGCATCCAGTAAAGAAGTGCAGTAAAGTCATGCAGCAACTATGAGCAACTTGAAATCCTCCTCTGGTCTGAGGAGAAAGCTCATCTGCCACGCCACATACAGACTCCACCTCTGGGAAACCAGATGCTGTTCCATCATTAACTCTAGACTCACCAGGATTAGGAAACAATTCCAGGGTAATTCCGTCCTTCTTAGAATCACAGAATGATTAAGGTTGGAAAAGACCTCCAGGATCAACCTGTGGCCAGTCCCCACCTTGTCCCCCAGCCCAGAGCACTGAGTGCCACGGCCAGGCCTTCCCTGGACACCTGCAGGGCTGGGCACTCCAAACCTCCCTGGGCAGCCCCTTTCAATACCTGACCACCCTCTCCAGACAGAAATTCTTGCTGATGTCCAGCCTGACCTCCCCTGGCACAGCTTGAGGCCATTCCCTCTCCTCCTGTCCCTTGTTTCCTGGGAGCAGAGCCCCCACCTGGCTCCACCCTGCTCTGGTCATCTGCACAGGCCTCTTTAAATAAACACATCATTACCTGGAGCTGTAAACCCAGCAACTCTGGCAAAACAGGAGTAAACTGATTTAATTTAGAGAGTTTAGCTTGAGAGGCAATGGAGTTGAATGCCTGCACAACACTCCACAGAAGCGATACAGTGATACATCCCAAGAAAGTTACCCATTACTGCCATCAGGCATTTAACTGTCAATTTTATAGAAACATTAAAATTCTATATTTCTTTCTAATTTTAAGAGGACAACAAAGACCATGGCTGCTGGCAGCTGGCACACACTTCAATATTGTGCAAACATTAATCCATCTCATTCTCTAATTCAGCCAGTGACCTTAATACCAGTGCAGATCTTAATCATCTGGCTCTGTTGAGTGCAGCTGGCATTCATTTGGCTTGACACAAGACCTACCCAATAAATAATAGTAAAAACCCCTCTTAGACAATGCTTCAAAATGCTTAATTCCAACTGCAATCTATTTATCTGCTAGGTTTTCTTTTCATAACAACCTCTGGACAACCCTCACAACAGTTGCAAGGGCTAAAATGAGTCCTAGCTGGTTTTTAGTCCATGAGAAAAAGGGACTCTCTAGTGTTGAAAAAAAACTCTTCTGACTCCTCTCATACCAAGACAACACCAAAACCTTCAGCCACCAAACAGGGAGCCCCACAGGACCAGCTCCAATATATTTGCATCTTACTGCTCCAATTCCACGTGCTCCAGGCCGGTGCCCACTCATCCGTACGAGTGCCCTGGGAATGCCAGGAGCTCAGCAGTGACCAGGGCAGCGAGGAGATGACACAGAACTAACAGGAATTATCTCAAGCGAAGCTCTGCAAGGCAAGGCTGGAGGCCTCCAACAGAGATCACTCAGCAGCTTCCCCCCTGCTTCCCACAGCTCTGAGCTGCAGAGAATTTGAGATAAGGGCTTAAAACCAACTCCTCTAAAACCCCAGGGGGGAAAAAAAAAAACTCAAAAGAGCAGTTTATCGTGTTATTATAATGATGCTCTTTTAGTAGTCAACAATTTTGATACCCAGATCTGCTTAGTATATCCTAAAGAGGAGTTATGTAAACAAACTTATCTCAAAACAAAAGCAACAAGTGAGAACCACTGAAAAACAAACTATTTTCACACACACACACACACACCCCCCAGCACAAAGAAATCCTCCTCCTCTTCTTCCAGAGAACTAAGAGTTCCTCTCACCATCAAAAAATCACAAAGACTTTGAGGAGAAAACAGTCTAGATGAGGAACAACATTTCCCCTGATGAGTTCTCCTACATAGTTTAAGGCAAAAATCTTCTCCGACTTGAATTCGATGGAAATTTCTCTTTTTGCCTTTGGGGATCATGGAGGTGCATACAGAAAAACCTTTTTCATTCAAATAGGTCTATCCCCTGCTTCCCCTTGCAAAGCTTTTGGGAACTGGTGCTTGCAAGAGACTCAAGACAACAATGCCAGAGCAAATGGGCTTTGCAAGTGGAAAAGGAAAAGGCCTGATGACCAAAGGTGGTTTTACTGGACAGTATGAGGAATAATTCCACCCCAAATCAACCTTCACCAACCCACTCCACAGTCCAAGCCAAACCCAGTAACATCAAAACCATGTAGATTTAAAAACTCTTACTCTTCTGCTTAAAAACTCCGTTAACTTCAGCTTGTTCCAAAGTATATTCTACCTGACTGGGGTAGGTAAGGTAAGGTATTCCCTCTCAGGAAATATCATACAAGCAGATACTGCAACGTCTGGGTGAATATTTCAAGTTGAAAAAGGCAACAAGCTACATTTTTTAAAACTTCTACTTTCTCTGCAGACCTCGGGCAGGTTTGGTATGGAAAGCACAAACTCACGTAACTCGTGCACAGCACCAAACATAGAGAATACCAACAAAAGGGAAATAAGTTCCGAATTGCTGATGGTTTAGGTTGGAAAAAACCTTAAAACTCATCTCATTCCACCCTCTGCCACAAGCAGGGACACCTTCCACAAGCCCAGGTTGCTCCAAGCCTCATCCTACCTGGCCTTGGACACTTCCAGGGATCCAGGGGCAGCCACAGCTTCTCTGGGCAACCTGTTGAACCAAAACGTCCCCACCCCAGGGCGGGTTTCAAGCAATAAATCTTTTTGCATCTGGTTACACAGGTGAAACTGTTCAACATGCTAAAGGTAAGGTTCCACCTGTGCGCCTGTGATTATCTAATTAAACTTTTTTTCTTAAGGTATAATAGGAGAAATTAAAGACAAATTAGTTCAAGCTTGGCTTTGTGAAGGTCACCAACGAGCAACAGCTGGAACTGTGCACGGGTGTTTTTCTAAGCTGGGATTTTCTGCAGAAAAGGAGAAGGGAGGAGAGCAGCCAGGCCTGCTAACCCAGGACACAAAAGCCTGCAACGCTGCTTACCGAAACCACGACAAACCTGCAGCCACGCTGCTGATCCCAGCAGGCATTTTCTGGAACACAGGCCTCTGAGCTTCCTTGCACCGGGCGAATTCGGTGCTGCCACGCACAGAAAGAACCTCTCAGGCCCATCTTACTGCTGTGTACCAACAGTTACTGATTAACTGAGCCCTCCTTCCAGGCGGAGAGCACCGGGGGATGCTGTGTGAGTACCTGACCGGGTGCTGCTGGAGGAGAGGAAGAGTCTGAGTGCCTTGGCACAGGACAGGCATAAAAGAGCCCTGCAAAGTAATTCTCTGTTGTGGTTACCTTGAACTCTACCCAAGGTCAGACCACAATTTCCGTCAAGGTTATTATAAGCCCACATGAACGCCTCCACATCAATAAAACCTCCCAGCCCTCAGTTACCAGGGCGAAATATTTGGCTCTGCTCCTTGTGCCTCGAACTCCGGGCACGCTCCGCTCGCAGCAGGAGCCCTGGATCTGTCAGGGGCTGGTTTTTGCTTCCTCCCCCAGCAAACCACCTGGGCCGGGCTCCACACCACCCTCGGCTGTACCTGCGCCTTCAGGAAGGCTTAATCTTTCTAATTGAGGACTGTATTTTTAGAAAAGCAGCGACCTGCAGATCATTTGCCACCCGATAAGCGCTGGGTGCTCAAAGGCGACTGTAATTGCCAGTTAAATGTTTCATCACAGATGCCTGTTAAAGATTTGGAAGCACAGCTAGGAGACAGCGCCGGTCTCTCAATGAAGCTCCACAACCAGCATTTCTGGTTTAGCACGTCCCAGTCAGCGATACCGTGATCCTTTCCCGTCCTCACAGAAAGCAGCTCGTCAGCTCTTCACTTCCAGCCCACAGCAAGGTTATTTTTCAAGTCTTTCTTGTGTCTGAGGGATTCACAAACCCTAGAATTCCCAATTTCATTCCCCCCTCGCACTAGCAATGCTTTGGCTAGTCAAAAATTAGCACACAGCTACAGAAGATAACTCAAATAATAACTCAAAGACCATGGCTTCTGGGGGGTTGTGTTTTTTTAAAAAACTCAGTTTAAGCTCTTTTGCTACAATAAAGCTTCACAATTTCTAAAACGTTTACATCAGTGTAGTCACTTAACTTCTCCAGCAGACGCATTTCAGAACAACATAACCCATCTTCTGGATTACAGAAGTCTTTCTAAAAGGAGAAGGTCCCAGAGCTGCGCTGCACTGGGCCACCCAGTGACCTATATACAGCAGCCCTGGAGTTCAGCTTCTATTCCATAATTAAAAGAGCTACACTTATCTCGCTCAGCTGTCCTGGAATGCACACGCAATAACCCAGAGAGGGATTTTTGGTCCAGGAGGCTCACACAGCCTGATCTGCCCCCCAGCACAGCTGCGCTACCGTGCACCCCAAACACAACCTGCTGTGCCCATACAGCCATAGAATCGTGGAATGCTCTGGCTGGGAAGGGATGTGAAAGTGCATCCCGTTCTACCCCCTGCCATGGGCAGGGACACCTTCCACCAGCCCAGGTTGCTCCAAGCCCCGTCCAACCTGGCCTTGGACACTTCCAGGGATCCAGGGGCAGCCACAGCTTCTCTGGGCAACCTGTGCCAGGGCCTCACCATCCTCACGTACCCCAGTGCAGCATCTCCCTCCCTCTCCTCGCACACCACGGCCCCTTGACCCCACCACCCACCCCCGAGCTGCCCAACCACCCAGGCGAGACAGTGACGGGCACCTTTGTGCGGGGACCCGTTGATGCTCTCGGAGCTGGACTGCATGTCCACGGCGGCCCTCCGGAGGCTGCTAAAGTAAGCCCTGGACCTGGAGAAGCTGCTGCGGGGGGAGCGGCCGTGGGGGCTGCCGAAGAGCGCGGCGGGGCCGTCCCTGCGGGCGAAGACGCCGCTGAAGAAGCGCAGGAGCCGGTGCTCGGTGCCGGCGGCGGGGCCCTCCCGGCCCAGGCGCTCCGAGAGCCGCTGCAGGTCGCTGTTATCCAGGGTCCGGTTCTTGCTCTTGCTGCGCTCCCAGCGCTCCAGGCGGGACAGCGGGTCCGCCTGGCTCAGCACCTCGCCCACGTCCAGCGTGTTGCGCTTCTCGGGGGGCTCTGCGGGCAGCGCGGCGGGCGGGGAGGGCGGCGGCGGCCCGGGCAGGCTCCCGGAGCTGCTGTGCCGCCGCACCCGGGCCGGCTCCCCCGCGCCGCTCCAGTGCCTGAAGCTGAAGCTCCGCCGCAGCAGCCCCGGCTGCCGCCGCGGGCTGTGCCCCCGCTCCCCCGCCGCCTTCTCCCCGGGCCGCCCGTCCTTCTCGCCCTCCTCCTCCTGCTGCTCCTGCTGCTGCTGCCCGGCGGGGGATGCGGCCGCGGATGCTCCGGGCGCGGCAGGGATGCCCCGCGGGCCCCCGGGCACGGGTGGCCCCGATCTCCGCGGCACCTTGAGCCGGCCGAGCTCCAGCTGCCCGGTGCTCAGCGTCCGGAAGGTGCGGAGGCCGCAGGGGCTCGGGACACGGTCGCGCTCCTCGCCGCCTTCCTCCTCCTCCTCGCCCTCCTCCTCCTCCAGCAGCAGCAGCCCGGCCCTGGTGAGGCTGGAGGAGCCCGGCGGGCGGCTCCTCCCGCGCCGGGGCAGCTCGGGGCCGGCGCGGCCGCTCTCGGGCCCCAGCAGCTCCTTCTTCACCATGGTCACGGAGATGCGGTACACGGTCTTCCTCTGCGGGGTGCCCCGCTGCATCCTCTCGGGGGAGGAGGCGGCGGCCGGCGGCTCGCTGCTGTCCAGGAGGTACATGGCTCTGCCCTTCAGGCAGCGGCGGCCACCGCGGGCATCACCGCAGGGACGGATGGGCGGACGGATGATGGATGAATGGAGGGGTGGGTGGATGGATGGAGAGGCGCGGGCGGCTGGGAACGCGCGGAGCCACCAACCACTGCAACCCGATTAAAAAAAAAAAAAAAAAAAAAAAAAAAAAAAAGGCAATAAAATAAATAAATAAAAGACGCTCCGGTGTCACACCCCGCTCTGCGGCGGGGTCAGGCCGGGCTCCGGCTGCTCTCCCCGCCGGCCGGCGCCCCTGGCAGCGCCCTCCCGGGCACGGCTCCCATCCAGGCGCGCATCCTCCGCCCGCGGGTCCCGGCTGGGCGCTCACGGCACGGGAGGCGCAGCAGCCGTCGCCGAGCTCATTGTTTACGGCGCGGCTGCTGGGCTGCGGATCTCGCCTCCCGCTCCTCGCCGCTCCGCCGCCTAAATCCGACTCCCATCCGCGCCGCTCCCGAGCAGCCCGGGCCGGGCGGGCAGGTCCGCTCGCAGCGGGGCCGGCGGTGCTGCCCGAGCGCCCGGCGCACGCCCCGGGGCGGCCAGCGCGGCTCGGCTCGGCTCGGAGCAGCTCAGCTCAGCACAGCTCAGCTCGGCGGGGCTCGGCTCGGCCGCGCCAGCCGGGACCGCCCAAGCGCCGGACTGGAGTCCCGCCCGCCGGGAGCGGGAGGAGGGCGCGCTCCCGGCACCGGGAAAAGGCGCTCGCCGAGTCCCCTCTGCTGCATCCGCCAGCTGAGGGGCAGCGCTGGGGCTGCACCTCACCCTGCCCAGCATCTCCTCGCCCTGCCCAGCAGCAGCACCACGAGTCCAGCCACAGAATGGGTACGGCTGAAAGGGACTTCAGGAGATCAGCAACGCCCCTACCAAGACAGGGGCACCTGGAGCAGGTGGGCACAGGAGAGTGTCCAGGGGGGTTTGGGATGTCTCTAGAGAGGGAGGACTCTACCACCCTCCATGTAGGCAGCTGTTCCAGGGCTCTGCCACCTCCATGGGAAGAAGTTCTTCCTCATGTTGAGGTGGAACTTGTGGTTTAGTTTATGGCCATTGCTCCTCATCCTGCCACGGGGCCACAAAGAAGAGAGGCTGGCACCATCCCCTTTGAGATGTTTATATGCATTAACGAGATCCGGGATCGATCCACGCCCACGAAAGGGCAAAGCATACAGTGCCCATCAACTCAGACCAAGACCCCAGCTGGGCTCTGAGGCTCAGATTCTGAATGCAGGAGGAACTGGGGTCACACTCCCTCCTTAAAAATAGAGCCAGAATTCATTCTCTTTTTTTGGTCTGTGACCATCCTTAACAAATGTTTTCACCATAAACACCTTGCACAATTAAAAAGCCACATTAGTACGTGGTTACTCATGTAAAAACCAAGCTGCTGTAACCTTCCCAAGCAGTGGTTTCATCAGAACCTGGCTCTTGTACACAGCTGGAAGAGGGTGTGACACACAACCCTTTCGCACCCAGCTTGTCAGTTCTCCACAGGCCAGTTCCAGAGGACGCCGAGGTACTGAACAACCAATAAATGTCCACCAAAATAAAGTCATTTGCGAGCCAGGATGACAGACAGAAGTCAAGCAACGTTAGGAACAATGTTGGTATTTTCCATGCATAAGATCCTTTTAAAAGTCAAGCTTCAAAAACTCCCTTCCAAGCTTACAAACACCCTTCACCAGCGCCAGTAAGAGCCAAAAGCAATAAAGGGGTAAAAAGGAAGGAAAGCACTGCCAAGGCCACATCTACATGTTCGAAATCCCCCCAGGGCTGGTGACTGCAGCACTGCCCTGGGCAGCTGTGCCAGGGACTGCCCAGACCTTCAGAGAGGAACAGCTCCGCACCAGGAGCTGGGCAGGGCTCACCCTCAGGAGCATTCCCAGCTGGGATGCTCCGGGTGCCAGCCCCTACACACACGAGCTGGCTGATGGCAGTGGGTTCCCACAACACGCACCACTGTTCGATTGATTACCAGTTGGAACACCGGGAATTCCCGATTTAACTCGTTCCTCCAGATGACAGATGCTGTTGTCTTTAATGCTGACTAATTAACATTGATTATTCATCATTGCTCTATTCATCATGGAATAGATTTGTACATGTATCTCCCAGCAGATACCTGACCAGGGCCAGCTCTGGAGACAAAGTCTTAAGAACACAGAGCTTGGAACAACCTGGTCTAGTGGAAGGTGTCCCTGCCCATGGCAGGGGGATGGAATGACATGATCTTAAATGTCCCTTCCAACCCAAATCAGCCTGGGATTCTACAAGGTCTCACTTGACCAGCTCGGAAACAGCTCCCAGCTCTTTCTAAATGCTTGTTTGCTATCATTCAATGTTAGCAGATTTGTCCATTCCCCTCACATCCAAAAGGCCATTTCCAATAGGTATTTCCAATGAGGAGGCGGGGGGGGGGGAAGGGAGGGTTATTAAAAAAGGATCTAATGAGGCAAACAGGAATAACAGTTTTTTCCTCGAGAGCCAAATCCGCAAGCCCAGCAGCGCTCAGCCCCCGCAGGCAGTGCGGTGGTGCGCGGGCTGGCAGGGCTCGCCCATCGCATCCCACATCCCGCATCCCGATCCAGGCCGCGCTTTCCAGCGCGCCGCGCGGGGAGAGCAGGCTCCTCACCCGGAGCGGGATCAACCATTTTTCATCCTCCCGGGATGACAGACCCCTCCAGAGGAGCCACTTTTAAGCGCAGACAAATCGCCGGCACATTCCTCCGGCCCTCTCCGGAGCATCCCACCCCTTCGCCCGCATCCCGCCCCGCTGGGAGCGCGGACACCCAGCACCGCCTCCAGATGCTGCAGCAGCTCTCCTGCGGGGGAGCAGCAAGGCGTGCTCCCAGGTCGCTCTGCTGCTGCTCATCACGGGTTTACCACCCTGCAACTTCTTCTAGGGCTTCCTGTGAATGGGGCTGGTTGTAACGCAGCCGCCCGTGGCTCCTGGTCCAAAGACCATCATCTCCTGGCGGTCCAAGGGTCGACATCCCCAGGCGGTCCAGAGGCCATCGCTCTTCACTCCTGGACAGAGGAGCTCTACCAGCTTTAAGAAACCTGCCATCAGTTGTTCATAGAACCCCGGGTTATCTCCGAGCAGGGACAGAACTGGGGTGTTCAGGGTTCCATCAAGAGCTCAGGGATGCCCGTGAGCTCCCGGGACCGTGCCCGCAGCCCAGGGCAGCGCTTGCTCGGCTGCGCCCATCCCGGCCGGGCAGGGATCCAGGGATCCAAGCAGCTCGCTCCTGCCCAGCCCGCTCCTCCCGTCCTGCAATTAGCACAGATCCGCTCCCAGAACAGGAGAAGTCCCTCAGGCCCCGGGACAAGAGCAGCCAGAAGCCACGGCAGCCAACCCAAACAAGTCCTTTGGCTCCAAGCCCACACCGTGTGTCCTGAAGGGCCCTCGGCAGCGGCTCCCGCTCACCTTTCGCTCCGCAGGCAGTGGGAGCAGAGCAGGACACACCTTGCACGATAAATCCGGGCCCAGAAAGGCTCTGACACGGTTTAGACCCCTCCATTCATCCCACCCAACCTCCAAAACTGCTCGTTGCTGCATGACCTCCTGCCAGGGGCATGAAATGCCCCCGAAGTATTTTCCTGGGCAAAGTCTTGCTGGCCCTCCGAGACAGTCACACTGAGAAGTGGAACCATGGAAATCCTCCGTCCACCTGGACATTAGAGGGTCAGATTTGCCGCTTTTTACTCCACTGCCGAGGTCAAGCCTATTTACACTGCTTGGAAGACCCTCATCAGCAACAAACCAGACCCCAGTGCATCTCCAGGGGCAGCGTAAAGCCAATTCAATGCGGGGAATAAATTATTTTGATTTTTGGAATGCAGCATTTTGAGTTTTCACGCAGGGAGCTCAACACTTGCCAAGCAAACTAGCACAGCCCAGCCTGATGCCTTAAAATGCACCGACATCTCACACAGGAGAAGCTCTCCACTAATATTTAGAGTCTCACAGTTCCCTCTCAGCAATGAACCCCATCATTTAATCCACACGGGTGTCTCAAATACATCCTGAAAATGCTTCAAGCAAAACCTGTATGAACAGAAGAAGTGCAGAAGGGAGTCCAATGAGTACAACACTCCCTGGTGCCTGTCCTGAGTGATGCTCTCGAGCTGAGTTTCACATCACTGCTGACACATCCCCAGCACACAGCGCTGCCTGCTCAACGTGAACAACTGCAGAAATGGGCCATGCTGGCAGGAGAAACATTCCTGCCCTCCAACAACTCTAAAGCAAGGTCAACTGTGAGCTGCTGATATTACTGGTGCTGATTTAATAAAGCGAAGTCTATTTGTGTCATTCCAAGCGACGGAAAATGGGCTTTGCACTTTCTCTTTTCCCAAGAACTCTTTGCAAGAAGACTCTTCAATAATTCTTTAATTCTTTAGCAGAGTTTCACATTCCACCAGCAGATACAACACAGTCACTATTCAAATACAAATCCCAGACAAGGAGGACTTGATAATCTTGAAGGTCTTTTCCAGCCTTCAAAATTCTATGAAATGCCTCATACACATCAGTAGCATCTCAGCATTAAAATTTCCCATCCTGAGACAGCCTAGACAGGTTTGCCAAAACCTTTAGGGGCACACAATTCCTGTTTGGGTTTTTACTGGACAACCAGTCATTCAAATCTTCACTGCCCTCGTTATCTTTTTTTTTTTTTTTTTTTTTTTTTCCCCCGTAAGAAAAGCAGACCTAAAAGTCACTGGTTTGCACACTGCAGGCTGAACTCCAGACACACAGTATCACTCCAAGCAGTTGTACCTTTGACAAACCGATGGTGGAAGACAAAATCAGGTCACCTGAGCGATTCTTGCAGCACTCTGGACGCGATTTCACTCCTCCCCACCGGAGAGACCGCGCTCCATCCGCTGTTTGTCATCACGGATCAGCGTTCAACCAGCAAACAAGGCAAGGCATCTGGACCAGAACAACATTGTGCTGGAGGGGACCAGCAACACAGAGCCCAAACTCCAGGGCTCTCTCTCAAGCCACGGGGGCTGCATTAAGCCACTGATCTGTGTTCTTCTGTCACTCTGCACTTGTCCATTACCCGGGCCTGAATTCACTGCAGGCAATTCTTTGCTAAGGCGTCTCACAACAAAGCACAGAACAGGG